TTCCCCTGTTTCTTCCCATGCTCTGAGAAAGATTTTAAGGAAGTCTGAGTCCAGCGAAGGTGAAATTGGAGGAATCGGGTGAGGAGCTCAGTCTCTATGCGTCTGCCTCCATGAAGACTGACGCCCTGCCCCCCCTGATTTCTAACTTCTGATGTATGTTGTTTTAAAACATTTATTGTACAATTTTTCTCTGTTTCAATAAAGTTTATGGAATCTGTGGGGAGGGGGGGAGACATGCCAGAACTGAACCTGGGATCTGCTATGTACATAGAACGTACTCTTCCACTGAGCTACAGCTCCTTACACTGGAACCAGGTACCCATAAATGTGTGGTCCACGATCCTTTCTCGTCTAACCTCACCTCGGCTAGAGTGTATTCCAAGAATGTTACTGTTTTTGTGGAGGTTTTGTGTAGCTAGTGAATTGCTGAAATCAGTATCCTAGAAGGTGTCTTTGCCACATTGTTGAAAAACACTGCAAATGTAAGCCAAAACACTGAGGGGGAATTAAGCCATGCTTCAGCTATTTATTGATTTATTTTTAAAGCCACAGGGAAGAATTAAAAATAATAAAAGTCTGTCCTGGGGACTACCTTCCACAGTCCATTGCATAAAGCTGCCATTTTATCCTCTGCAGTACAATAAATGGGCTACAATTCTGGAGGAGGTGATTAAGTGTAGAACTATGGCTCATGAATGCGGCCAGTAGGTTTATACCATGCACGTTTAAGGCACAGAAATATATATACGTGTGTGTGTGTGTGTGTATTTTTTTTTCTCCTTTGGAATGACTTTTCAGGAGAAAGCCGGGTTGGTACATAATAAATCATGAAGGAATATCTCCATTTCCACCTTGTACAGATAAACTGAAGTGTGGTGGTGTCGATTCAGAAGGGAAGGAGACAGAACATCCTGCGTTTCAGATTTTCTTTTTTTAACTTTCCAAGCCTTAGGGCTTAAAATGCCTTAGGGCTCTTGTGCCAATAAACATGTTTTAAGTATAACAATTTTTTTGTTAATTTATGGGTGGTGTTACAGTCAACAGCTATTTGTTTCCTTCATAATAGTGGATTTCTGAGATCCAGCATGACCATGCTGGTTAGAGGACTGGACTTGAACTTGTGCTGAAATTTTGTAATTGGATCTTCCTGCTATGCAATTATACTCTGATCCCAACCACCACCACCAGAGGAGAAAATACCATTACCAATATGGATTAGGATAAGAGACAGTGGCATAGGGGATTCCCTCCTCCACATCCGCTTTTGGTGCCAAATTATACGCGGGATTTTCAGTCACAGAATCCCCATGTAAATGTGCAGTTAGGCTCTATTTTTTGCACAGAAGGGCTCCTTATTCTCTCACACACAAATTCTTAGGGAAACGATTTCTAAGATGCATACTAAAAATCCTGTTGAGATTTTCCTTTATGGTCTTTTCGACTTTAGTGTCTAGATGCTAAATTGCTGATACTTGCATATTAATCTCTCTTGCTGAATTAGTCTCTCCCATTGAATTACTTCCATTCATCTTTTATAATCACATATCCAATCTTGTTCTTGTCTCCATTTAGTTGTATGGTAACATTATGTGCCGACGAGCTCATTTTTAACTTGCTGGCTCATCTCACTAACACATACCGTGAATACTTTTATCTCAACAGCCTGTGACTTCCAAATATGATAAGCAGAAGTTTGGATAAACTAGAGTGATTTTTGCTATTCTGAAAAAGTAAAACCGTAATCAGGAAACTCAGATATTGGAATAGTACTATACTATTGCTACTTATTGCTTAATTTGCAAAGGGCTCTATGATTTTTATTGCATTTTTGCCTTCATAACAACCCTGTTGCATAGATCAAAAGCAAAGAGATCATGTGTTCAATCTGATTACTTTTTGCACTGTGCATTTGCATCCTGATTCCAACTGGCCCTTGTAACCCCCTACCACCCTCTGACCTGGATAGAATGGCTGATGGATCTTTATTCTCATTTGCATCTGGTGAACTGAGCTTTTCCTCTTTTAGAGCTTCCTGAGTTCAAAAAGTCTTGTAGAAGATTTTTAGATGGAAAGGTATTTCGAGGTCTGTTTCCCCTGTTTCTTCCCATGCTCTGAGAAAGATTTTAAGGAAGTCTGAGTCCAGCGAAGGTGAAATTGGAGGAATCGGGTGAGGAGCTCAGTCTCTATGCGTCTGCCTTCATGAAGACTGACGCCCTGCCCCCCCTGATTTCTAACTTCTGATGTATGTTGTTTTAAAACATTTATTGTACAATTTTTCTCTGTTTCAATAAAGTTTATGGAATCTGTGGGGAGGGGGGGAGACATGCCAGAACTGAACCTGGGATCTGCTATGTACATATACCGTACTCTTCCACTGAGCTACAGCTCCTTACACTGGAACCAGGTACCCATAAATGTGTGGTCCACGATCCTTTCTCGTCTAACCTCACCTCGGCTAGAGTGTATTCCAAGAATGTTACTGTTTTTGTGGAGGTTTTGTGTAGCTAGTGAATTGCTGAAATCAGTATCCTAGAAGGTGTCTTTGCCACATTGTTGAAAAACACTGCAAATGTAAGCCAAAACACTGAGGGGGAATTAAGCCATGCTTCAGCTATTTATTGATTTATTTTTAAAGCCACAGGGAAGAATTAAAAATAATAAAAGTCTGTCCTGGGGACTACCTTCCACAGTCCATTGCATAAAGCTGCCATTTTATCCTCTGCAGTACAATAAATGGGCTACAATTCTGGAGGAGGTGATTAAGTGTAGAACTATGGCTCATGAATGCGGCCAGTAGGTTTATACCATGCACGTTTAAGGCACAGAAATATATATACGTGTGTGTGTGTGTGTGTATTTTTTTTTCTCCTTTGGAATGACTTTTCAGGAGAAAGCCGGGTTGGTACATAATAAATCATGAAGGAATATCTCCATTTCCACCTTGTACAGATAAACTGAAGTGTGGTGGTGTCGATTCAGAAGGGAAGGAGACAGAACATCCTGCGTATTGTGTTACAGTCAACAGCTATTTGTTTCCTTCATAATAGTGGATTTCTGAGATCCAGCATGACCATGCTGGTTAGAGGACTGGACTTGAACTTGTGCTGAAATTTTGTAATTGGATCTTCCTGCTATGCAATTATACTCTGATCCCAACCACCACCACCAGAGGAGAAAATACCATTACCAATATGGATTAGGATAAGAGACAGTGGCATAGGGGATTCCCTCCTCCACATCCGCTTTTGGTGCCAAATTATACGCGGGATTTTCAGTCACAGAATCCCCATGTAAATGTGCAGTTAGGCTCTATTTTTTGCACAGAAGGGCTCCTTATTCTCTCACACACAAATTCTTAGGGAAACGATTTCTAAGATGCATACTAAAAATCCTGTTGAGATTTTCCTTTATGGTCTTTTCGACTTTAGTGTCTAGATGCTAAATTGCTGATACTTGCATATTAATCTCTCTTGCTGAATTAGTCTCTCCCATTGAATTACTTCCATTCATCTTTTATAATCACATATCCAATCTTGTTCTTGTCTCCATTTAGTTGTATGGTAACATTATGTGCCGACGAGCTCATTTTTAACTTGCTGGCTCATCTCACTAACACATACCGTGAATACTTTTATCTCAACAGCCTGTGACTTCCAAATATGATAAGCAGAAGTTTGGATAAACTAGAGTGATTTTTGCTATTCTGAAAAAGTAAAACCGTAATCAGGAAACTCAGATATTGGAATAGTACTATACTATTGCTACTTATTGCTTAATTTGCAAAGGGCTCTATGATTTTTATTGCATTTTTGCCTTCATAACAACCCTGTTGCATAGATCAAAAGCAAAGAGATCATGTGTTCAATCTGATTACTTTTTGCACTGTGCATTTGCATCCTGATTCCAACTGGCCCTTGTAACCCCCTACCACCCTCTGACCTGGATAGAATGGCTGATGGATCTTTATTCTCATTTGCATCTGGTGAACTGAGCTTTGGCCAACAAAAGCTTATACCCTGGAAAATTTTGTTTCTCTTTAAGGTGCTAGTAAAGGTAAAAGTTTCCCTTGCTCGAAAGCCAGTCGAATCAGACTCTAGGGTTGTGGTGCTCATCTCCATTTCCAAGCCGAAGAGCCAGCGCTGTCCAAAGACGTTTCCGTGGTCATGTGGCTGGCATGACAAGATGCCAAGGCACACAGAACGTTGTTACCTTCCCACTGAAGCGGTACCTATTTATCTACTTGCAATTTCTTGCTTTCGAACTGCTAGGTTGGCAGGAGCTGAGACCAGAGATGAGAGCTCACTCCGTCATGTGGCACTCGGGTCTCGAGCTGCTCAACTACCGACCTTCTGGTCTACAGTTCAGCATCTTAACCACTGAGCCACCACAGCTCCTTTTTAAGGTGCTACTGGACTCAAATATTGTTCTACCACTACAGAACATGGCTACCCACCAAATACCAGCCCCCAATATGTCATGGAGGATACTAGCAGGGGTGAAAAAATTATCTGCACAATGACCATGAATTATGCTGTGACTGATACTTGATACGACTGGGGATGGGAAATGTTTCCATGGATGTGCTAATCCCTATGATCAACATAATGTCTGGGCCTTAAGAAAGAAGTTTAGAATCTCAATGCATATAGGGATTGAACTGGAGATATAGTCATAATGCTTAGTATTTAATGCTTTTCCTGCATGCTCAAAGTACTTCATATACAATATTTCAGTAGTGCTTATGACACTTTGTAAACCATTGTGTGGAAGAAACAATAGTGGCATGCTTAAAACACACAGTGAATGAGATGAACTAGGGACTTTCGAGTTCTTCTTGCTGAATCTGTCAAGCATGTAACAGTTCTGCATACAGTCAAACTGTACAGCTCCTGTTATCTTTTGTTCCAAGGATTCTGAAGTCATGTGACTCCCAGAAGGAAAACAACACTTCAGAGGAGGTAAACAAAAAGGAGTCAGGGTTTCTTGTTGGAAAAATTTACCTTGCAAGGGCTGGAGTAGCCATGTCACTTTGCACTCCGATGGCCATGGGCACACCTCCGCAGCGAATATTTCCCAGCTCTTCTGCCACTGCCATGCTGTAGGAAAAGTCCAATCCCAGGCCACCATACTCTGGATATGAAAAAATTAGTGTATGTTTAAAATGATAACACTGTTACTTAAACTTATAGAAGCAAACACAGGGATTTTCTTTTTTTTATTTACTACATGTCAGTCTACCTTTCTACAACAAATAAACTCAAGGTGGATAAACTAATCTTCTACAGGAAGTCCTCCTTTCACTCAGCAGAAGGGACTTGTCAGATGCAGCCCGCAATTTTCAAACATATAGTATCAACTCTTTTTTCCAGCAAAATGATGACAAACCACGTGGATCGAGAAGTCATCAGACTGAATGTTGTCACTACCCTCCATCTTTCAGCACAAAAACCTGTTTTTGGCCACAATATACAAAACCACTCAGTCAAGACTTCAACAGGCTGTCAAGGTCTCTGTTGTTGACACATGTTAGAAAACCTTATTTGACTGTGTAAAGTAAGCCAAAGAGACATACTTTTAAAATCAGATATTAAAAAGACAGCATGCCATTAACAGACATTTGGAAAAACAGGCCCAGAAGGTTGTTTTGAAACAACAAATGAAACAATTTTTAAAAAAATTTCACCTAAAGTTTAGCACTTTGAGTACTGACTTCATACTAAAGAACCTGTGAAAACAAAAACAATCTTCTACATGTAAAAAACGCAGATCCTTAGAAGATGTAAGGGTCCCAAGACAGGTTTTCTTTTACTTCTTCCTTCCTTTCCTGCTAGCTTATCTGTACAGGAAGATATCATGCAGGAATTCAGCCAGCTCTGGCCAAACAGGGAAGGGCTGTAGCTCTTCCAGATGACCCCCAATCTCTTTGCATAAGACTATGAGAACTGCTGCCAATGGAAAGTACTAAGCTAGATAGCCCATGGTCTAAGTCATATGTGGCAGTTTATAAACATGGCAGCTTATAAACATGGCAATAGCAATGGATCACACATTTCAGAAGTGGAGGGATATTTAAAGGGTTAATTTACTTGCACAGTAATCCAGTACATAGAGGGGTCTGATGTCACCTAGTAACTAACTGGGGCCTGGAAATTTCTTCTTCTAGAAGCTATTTTGGTTGTTCCTTCCTTTGATGCCTGCTAGATCTGCTGCAGGCCAGGAGAGAGATCTGCACTGTACCTGTTAGCTGATCTGTGTGTCTGAAAGTAAAATAAAAGTTTTACTTGAAAAAATCTTCAGCCTGGACTCATTCTTATTTGCAAATCTGCAACATCTTTCACAAGGAACTGCTACATAGCCAAGGAAGCCAATAGGGTACTCCTTGAGCTGTTAAGAATTCAGGAGGGTTGTTCACTGCTCTTGCTGGTTTTAATTGTTGCCTCGATCCCTCTCTGTTTTTCCTCTCAACTACACAAGACTGAAGACTAACAAAAGCCTGTCAAGGTAGTAAGTAAATGTTTATAATATGTTAACATACACTGTAATATTTTAGTGTTGCCTCATTTACGTTATACTCCGTGGGGATCCCTACAGTGAAAGTTCCAGCACGGCTAGGAACCAGTAGGAGATTGGGTACAGCTGTCAATGATGGTGTGATGTTACTTCCATGAAAACCTGAAACTGATGTCACACCTCTCTAGGAGCTACTAGAAACTCTATGGTAAAACTATACCATTTTTGACAATTCTTAGAGATTCCTCACATCACATCCAGGTTTTCCCAGAAGTGACATCAGTCCTTTCTAGGAATTTCTGGCAATTTCTAGAGAGGAGTGACATCACTGACATCACATCAATGCTGATGACCATTTAATTTTTTTCCCCTTTATCTCACCAGCTGCTGGAGGACCAGTAGGCTAGGACCCCTAGGGGTGAAAAATCTCCCACCCCCAATGGGCACATGGCAACCCTATGAGCCAGGATCTGCTCACTGTATGCTGCCCATTTCATAATTGATTTAAAGTTCACCAGTGTTGGTATCTCTTCTAGTAGCTGATGTTCATCAAATTCACAAGCTGATCTCTCAAAAGGCTGAAAGAGCTTTAAGAATCTTTATATTGTCACTCCCAAACTAGATGCATACCTGTGCAGAAGGCAGCACCCTTGCCAGCAATGAGAGCCTTTAGCACCTGAGGCTGCCTTGCCTCTGGCTACAAAAAGAATGGGCAGGGGGCAAAACTCTGTATATGTGCTTCCCAACATGTGCACTGAAAGTCTGGCTCATGCCCTTTAACTTTCAGTGTAAGAACATAAGTAGAACCCTGCTGGATCAGACTAGTGGTCCATCCAGTCCAGCATCCTGGCTCACACAGTGGCCAACCAGTTCCTTCGGTGGGCAACAGAGCATAGAGGCTGAGACCTTCCCTTAATGTTAACTCCTGGCTCTGGGATTCAGAGGTTTCGTGCCTCTGAATGTGGAGGTTCCCCCCCAGTCACCATGGCTAGTAGCCACTGATAGACTTCTCCCTCCCTTGGTTCCTCCTTGCAGAGGAGCTGGCCTGATCCTGTTTCTCCCCCTCCTCCCTCAATCCTCCAAGTGCTCTGGAGTAAACTAATTTCTGCAGCAGCCAAATCGTTTGCTCACCACTTTAAGGCCAGTTGCTCACAAAGTAGACGTTTTGCTCACAGCTTCACAGGACTCTGCAGCTTAGAGGGACTAAAAGCTGCCGGCTTCCCTGCTGCCCCCAGATTCCGTTTGTGATCCCAGGAAGGATCTGGCCCCTGGGGCTGCAGCGACGAAGGGAGACATGTGGGCCCACAAAGGCAAGGGGTGTGTGTGGGAGGGAGCAAGCAGGCAGGGGAAGGCAGGAGAGAGACCCCAGGCACAGGCCGGGGAAAAGGGTGGCCTCTGAGTGAGCGGGCAAGGGGCTTGGCGCGCATGCCTACCTCGCCACCTCCCTCCTCTTGGTGCAACAGCAGGAAGTCAGAGAGGCCAATCTCCATGGTGGAAGGGGGGGCGCCAGCCTCGCAGGGCTTTCTCATGCCCTGTGCTCCGGCGGCAGTGGGAAGGAAGGTGCCAGCCTTGCAGAGCTTTCTGTGGGCCTCAACTTACCTTCCTTCTGCATTGTGGCTGACCAACGGCTGCTGGGAGCATGGGGCGGGGCTTGGTCATGTGCCCGCCCCCTAACGCCTCACTCCCAGAGCATCGCTCCGGCACGCTCCGGGGCGAACTGACCCCTGCTACCTACACAGAAGCATTAACTTACCCTCCCATTTCCATAATCAAACAACACCAATGAGCCAAGAAAACAGATGTAGGTTGATCCTCTTTGTCTATTAGAAAGGCTGCCATAGGCATTCAGATAACGGTTAGCATTTTTGATAATTTCAGATGAAATGGTTTCCAGAAAATTAGCTATAGGCTCATTTGATTTTAAAAGGGCTTTATTCAAATGTATCACACTATGTATCACATAGTACATTCAATCACATTCTCCTTCAGCTTACTAAAGCTGGGTTTTAAATGAAAAAGAACCTATCAGATATGTTCTATTTTTAAGTGCCAAGGGAAGAAACAAAACAAAAGGCTTTTAAGTTGTAAATGAAACCCTTGGCCATTTAGAACACTTCAAATTTCACTCAAATAAAAATCTTTCTCACTTATTTCATTCTAATGTGCTGTTTTACAGAACATACCTTCCAGTGGCAGTGATGATAACATGACAGAAGGTTAATGGATTATTTTTTTAGTGTTATATGAGAAACTATTGAAAGGGGGTACTTTCAATTATTGTGCATTTTTCTGTTGATCATTATTTTCAAAAAGATATTAGTTGCTACACTCTTAACAAGCAACTCACATACTGACCGTGACCACTGGATTTTTCAGGGTTCACATGCACATGTACCAAGCCTGTATGCACATGATAAAATATGTATGTTGCTCCTGTTCACATGACATGGCAACTGTATGTATGAGGAGAATTGCAGGTAGTACACTCTCTTATTATGCGTAGTTGGTAGGATCCCGCAGTACGCATGCTTATAACATCTAAAAATGCCTTGCAGCAGAATAACAGAGACCATTTTTCCTTGCTCAGTCTTTTAGACACGAGGGGGGGGGGGTAATGATGCAATCAAATTCAGAGTTAACTGCAATCCTATTTTCCATTGTGGCTGTGGTAGCCAAAAGGAGGAAATGGGGGCAACTGCACTGTGCTCTCAAATTAAATTCAAGAAGTGTCTTACCTAGGGAGAGACTGTGGAAGAACATGGAGGGTAACCATCAGTGATGGCATGATGCCACTTTCCAGGAAAATCCAGAAGTGGCATCATGCCTTTTTAGGAACCACCAGAAACCCTATGGTAGAACAATAGAATTTCCAGTAATTACTAGAGAGGCCTAATGTCACTTCTGGGTTTTCCCCAAAAGTGATGTCAACACTGTTGCCCCCAAAGCCTTTTTAATTTTTTTTCTCTGGAAATGGAGGTGGTGGCAAGGGATCCCCTGTCCCCAGCCAGGGACAACCCTGGTTTTAACTTACACCACTTCTTTTGCTGTCAGAAAATCATGAGGCAACATCGAATTCCTTCTAAGCTCTCCTTGGTCCAGGAGCAATCCCACCAACCTCACTACATTTAAGTCCTTGTGCTACCAATGTAGTTGCAGCCACCCCTGGTACAAAGATATCACTACACAGGGCCACTTCTTAGGCTCAACTAATACAAGGGAATTTAGAAGTACCCAAGGAGCCTGCATTGGCTATAGTTTTGGCTCATTTATGTAGCAGTTTTCTAAAGTAGCACATTTAATGAGTAGCTTCTCCACACCCTCATCCAGATCATTTATTAAAATATTGAAAAGTACTGGGCCCAGAACCAAGCCCTGTGGCACACACCCCCCCCGGACACCTCCCTCCATTCAGATGAAATGCCATTGACAACTACTCTTTGAGTGCGGTTCTCCAACCAGTTCCCTATCCACCTAACTATCCTAGAGTCCAGTCCACAGTTCTCTAGTTCACCCATCAGAACATCATGGGGAACCCAGTCAAAAGCTTTACTGAAATCCAGGTAAACAACATCAACAGCATTCCCTCAATCCAGTAAGCTCATCACTCGACCAAAGACAGA